AGTAAACGCGGCAACGTTTATTTTTATTTTAATATATATACTAAAATAAAATAATATATATTTTAAGCATTTATACGTTTTTACTATTTGACTTATATTTCAACAAAATGTATAAGATCATCATTAAAATAGTAGAATTTTTTGTAGTCCAAAAATGTAATGTACATTGGTCTATGTTTATAATGCCAATTAAATAGGTCCTACTTTGCATTAGTACGGTTTCAATCCAAGAATTGTCGAGTTAGATGCCTTTTTACATTCACAAAAGGTCTGAGATGTCGCATGAGATCCAGAGAACTTAGGTTGATTATTTAAATATAGGTTACAATTAATGATCATTATTTTACTACTTATTAAGGTCAAAGTAGCAAATAGTTAGATCGTTGTTGAAATAATTGAGATCTATATAACTATAAAGCACTAATCTTTATCACATAGTCGACTTATTGAAGATCAGCTTGAACAGCAAGTATATACTATTTTTAGTGCGTAGAAACCATATTGTTTTGTTTTGAAATACTTTAAAAATAAAATGACATTTTGTTTGTTTGTTTGATGTCAAATCCACCAGTATATTTAAAAATGTTCCTAAGAGAGTAAGATGTACTTCCCTTCATTACGTGCCTATACAAAGTGGGGCATAACATTTGATTAAAATCCTTGATATCACTGTTTTGAATTAAATTGCATTCCATATCCCATTAAATTGGCTCTCTATCTACAAATATAGTAACATAAGAGGTTCGAATCATAGATACTCCCTTTCGTATCGCTTAATCTTCAAATTATACTTGTAGATGGTAACTTAAATGCTACTTCCCACAGAATCTGATTCTTAGCCAATACAGGGTTGATGTTTCGCAGTCAGTAGGAGATTCTAAATCAAATATAAGCCGTTCACTTTCCGCCATATTGAAATCAGCAAACATTTTACTGTGTCTTTATTTACCCAATTTCTATATCTTAGACTCTTAAAATTCGGTAACACTTCTGTCTTCAAATTTCCTACATCAATTAATTACACCAACATTTCTAGCTTTTGAGTATAGATTTAACACCACTTTATTTAACGCTGGCGAAGTAAGTTTAAATGTTTTAGTTGTGTTCGTGTTCAGAATGAGCTCCGTCATATCAGGGTTATTTCCAAAACTGTTACTCTTACCTTACTCGAAAATTTGATAGATATTTGCCTGATGAACTGATTTTAAAATTTTTTTTAAATAGCTTTATCTCTGTTCTGAGCCGATATTTTTTTATTTCTTATTTTAAGTCAATTGATGTTTTTTTTACACTTAAACATTTTGTTTTATTACAAAAGGATTTACTTATAATATTTATTTATTAGACGGAAAGATTTCAACGATGTCTATCATATTTTTAATGAATTTATTTTATTTATCTGTGCAAATATACATACCAAGATACATATCATTAATGACAATTTGTTTTACTACTTGAACACCATGGTTCTAAAATAATTTTTTTTACCTGAACATAATAAAAATATTTCTAATACTTAAATAAAAAGACTATAAAGATTTTCTTACATGTCTATGAATTTTTTTGCTGCAACAGTCATAAATTCCGCGGGTATACTGTATAGACAGGCCAACAGACATAAAATTATCATAAGAATATTTTAGAGAACTCTACTTCAAAAAGCGATGACTAAAAATTACGAGACATCAATGCGTTAATTGCTTTCAACATGCCGGAGCAGTATTGGCACGGCAACAGCAATTGTTGTTGCTACTGAATCCGCTTCTGTTGCTGTTGCTGTTGCCGTTGCTGTTACCCATTGAGAAGTATTATGCTGTAGATAATCACACATTAAAATCAGCAGCGCACAGGTTTGACAAACGACCGATATCTGCTGCAGCAACATTTTCTGCTTGAAGCTATAACAAGTGTGGCATCTTTTTTCCATCTTCAGATTTTGCTACTGCAACTGCAACTGCAGCGGTAGCTATTACTCTTGCATCTAAACGTGTGCACGCAATTGTAAAATTAGTTTCTGATTTTTTTCTTTTACTGTAGATAAATTTTTCCGAAGCAAATTTCTTAATTAAGTTTCTGTGATAGACTGCGTAAAGCTTTTATTCATCTTCATTTCACAGATTTCTAAATGCGAATATGCAGTAGCATATTTTGCTTCGTGCTTGCGTTTCAATATCAGCTATCTATGTGCACAAATATTTGAAAAACTATCTATATATGTTTATCTTTTGAGCTAAGTGGCGCAATAATGTCACAAATCACTTCATTAATGTGGTATACCGGCAAACCAGTAGACATAAAATTTATAATCAAATACCAATACCTTTAAATTAGCTTAAGGAAGAAAATTAAATGAAAATTAAAACAATTAAGTATTGTGTTGTGTTGAAGAAAGACTTTGTTAATTTTGAATTTATTAATTCTAATTATATTTAAGCTATTAATTTAATGGAATCGTAAAATATGTTAAACATTGAACCTAAAAGTTATGTAAGAGCTTTATGAGGTTTTTTCGAACAGTAGTGAACTACAACAACAATTAATTAATTGAATTTTTGGTTGACCATACAGCTGTTTCGAGTATTGCCAAATACCCATCAGCAGTGGTCTTAGAAATAATTCTTATAATAATAAGAATATAATAATAGAATCTGATTAGAATCTGATAGAATATGATATGCGTCAATCAATTAGAACTAAACTAAGTCCAAAAGAAAAATTCTGGTGTGTATTAAATATTTATTTATTTATCATTAGAAATATTTTCTAGTTGCGGTATCAACTATTTTAAATATATTTAAAACACAATATATTTTCGATTCCTATGAATGTCTTTCCCATATATCAACTTTATAGATGTAATTATAAAGTCATCCACAAATGAACATTGTATATATACGTACAACTTTTACAATTAAATCTATGAACAGTGTTATTATCATTAGCATCTGACCTTTTTTAACAGACAGCGATCTTGATTGTATTCAATGTCGTCTGGTAGGACACAACTATACTTTCAGAGCATTAGTTAACACATTTCAACATAAGCAAGGTTTAACTCCCTATCATATACCATGGTTTATTTTTAACATTATATCAACTTGAAGTCGGATCTTGTACAATTGGTGACTTCAATGTTGCTTTTATTAATATACGGAACAAATCTGCCGAACGCGGTTAACAGATTAAAATATTCTATGGTAAGAGTTATGTAAAGCTGAAATTTATTCGTGGGTACCATTGATCTCTTTGTTTAGTATTTGGAGATTATAGTAAGGTTCCAAGAATAATTTAGCATTGGCTGATTGTATAAGGTTGACCTGGATTTTAGAAATCCTTTGCGTATTTCTTCAACCATATCACTATTAAGTACCACAATTAACTAAAAGTATTTAAAACATTATATTTACCTAATTTTTGGACCAACTAGAGTTGTTTTCTGGTAGATAATGCCATCATGTGTCTCGTTTCTCCGTTAATAATATGCAAACTTATTTTTTAAGCCGCCTTCTTGATTTGACAAAAAATTCTTGTACTTGTCAATGTAGTTTGCGTACGTTGGTATTCTTTTCGAACAAGTGACAAAAGTCCTTCTTATTAAAGTACTGCAATAACGGATTGTTGTCTTCAATGCTAAGTTTGGAGAGGATCAGTCTAAATCAGCTTCGTGTCAATGTATGTTAAAGATGTTCATGTGAATTTTTATATCACCTTAGGATGCTTAGGTTGGTTATAGTCAACCTAAACAGTTCTATCAGTTTATTTGGACTGTAAATTCTTATTATGGCTTTGTTTAGTAAAAAGAATAGTAAAAAGAAGACGTTCAACTATTCTATTGAATGTTTATTCTAGTTATTCAAAATTTTTATATTCTTTTATTGAAAAATGTTAGAAATCATTAAAATAGTGTACCAATACCAGCAAGCAGTTAAATTTTTAACTGATTTCAATGCAATAAGTATTGGAATCATTCAATCATTATTATGAATAGACAGGTATTTTCGCTATTGTAGAAAGGTATTATATTATATTTTTATGTAACAATAATTTAATATTATAAATTTAAGTAAATTGTAATTAATGTTATTAATTTATAAATAATAATATATTTTTTATTTTCTTTCAGATCTTAAAAATCATTCATCTGTTAAATACTTAATTAAACTACTACAATACATTTAATAAAAATTAAAATTTAATATCGAAAATACAGAATAAAAATTTATGAATAATACTTTCACTGAAAAATTAAAGAAAAAATTGATTTGAATACCAAACTACTTTCACACAAAATAATGGCGAAAAAATCGGATAAAGTTGCAAAATGTCAAATAATCAATGATGAGGATGAAGATGAGAACCAGCGAAGATTACAAAATTTTAAAAGTGTGAAGCGAGCTCATAATATGATAACCTAATTACAAGTGAAATAAAAGCGAAACTCAATATAAAATAATATTTTAGTAAAGAAATAATAAATTAAAAAAAATTTTGTGCTAATGTAGACACATAAAGTAATAAAATTTAAAATTGCACCACTCATAAATAAGTTATTAACAAGTTCGGCAATAAATAATAAAAGTCTTTTCATAAGACCGACTTAAGCAAGGATTAAAATAGCAATAAGAAATAAAATAAGAAAATAACAATAATAATAATATTAATAATATAGTCAATGCAATTATTTTACGTTTCTTGCATAAACAAGGTAAATTACAGATTAATTTACCAATGCAGAAGCATTTTGCTGGGCACTTGACAGTAGTCGCCACAGCAGGAGGAGTGGCTTGTTTTGTAGGCAACAGCATTTTGATTTAAATACACAAGGAAACAAAAAATTTAACAAAAGCTACTAAAAATTAAAATAAAATTAAAACAAAAAAGAAAGAAAATTTTCGTCTTTTTTGTTTTCGTTCATGCGAAGAAGAGGTTTACACTTGAATTGGAGGGCCCTAGCACTGCTGGGTGCCCTCCTTTCGATTTTAATCGACTGGCCTGGTTTAATGGTTTATGCAATGCCAACATTGTTTCGTATGGCAACACCACAAGCAACAACAATTACAACAACAACAATCGAAGCAGTAGCCGCACTTGCAGAACAACAAGATACAATGCCATTAAATATAATACAGCACAAACAACACTTGGCACGTGATGATGATTATGATGATGATAATGACGCAGGCGAGGTAACTAAACCGCCACCGAATTTGAAAAATATTCAACAATTAAGTGATAACAGTCCTATTAGTAATAAAAAAAATATAGATGATAAAAGAACAGATCATAAAAACATTAAAGTTAACACTAAAAATGAAAATAACATAAAGCAAAATAATGAAAACATCACAAGTGAAAGTGTAACAAATACTATAGTCCCAGAAGCAGAAGTAGAAATTCCTCAAGAGGAACAATTTAATGATAATAATAATAAACAAAAAAATTCTGAAGAATCTTTTAATAATGAATATGCTAGAGATAACAAAGGCCACAAAACAAGAACTATCAATGTAACCCATTTACCGAACTATTTGCTACACAGTAGTGATAATAATCACAACAACAAGAATAATATTAATAGTGGCAATAAGGCTACGAATGAATTACAGCAACATCAGAGTGACAACAATAAAATGTTGATGACAATGACTTCAAGTGACGAACAAATATACAATGCTCAACGTTTAAAAATTTTAAATCTTATATCAAACAAACGTAAACGCAAAAAAGTCGATATAATGGAAGTGAAAAATGATGAAGTTACTTTTCGTATAACAACTTCATTAAGTAATAATAGTATTAGCCATAATTTAATAAATAACACTACACTCAATAACAATAAAATAATTAATAATAATACTAATAATATAAGTAATTTTAATAAAAACAGTAATAATTTTATAAGAAATGATGAAAGTAGCGAACGAACGTTTTTACCAACTACTACTGCCATAATTGATAATAACATAAAAACCTATAATAATAAGGAAATTAATAAAAATACTAATGTTAATAATAATAATAATAATCAAGTAACACTTTATAAAAACCAGCATCGCATCGATAATAACAAAAACAATTTTAATAACAGAGATATAGCAACATCATCAACAAGTTCAACAAGAGATGCTGTTAGCGGAACGAATGTTATATCTACAACAACATCACCATCAGCAGAATTAATCAATAATTTTAAAAATTTTTTATCATTTAAATTTTCATCATCACATCACACAGCTATATTATCACGTACCGTACGCAATGCGCGTTCCCAAGATCCAACAACAACAATAACCTTAAATAATAATAACAAAAACTCTATACGCCGTACTAGTAGTCAAAGTAATGGTGGTAATATAGTTCGTAGATCATCGGATAATATTGGTAATGGTGTTGTTGGCTTGAAATCAAAAAGACTGAATAATTCTAGAAACATAAACAATAGCAACAATAAACAACAACAAACAAGTAATTTAGATCGTAACGAACGATCTACAATATCGCATCTATCAGGACCAGCACGTAAAATACGATTATTTATTAAGAATCGTTTCCTGCAACTCATGCCGGATGGTACTGTGAATGGTACACTGAGTGAACAAAGTGATTACAGTAAGTACAATTTTTATGTTAATTTTAATAGAATAGATATTGTTAGACAGACCCGGACAAAGAAATTAACTTCGGAGTGGGTTGTGTTAAAATGCTGAATACACTATACTATTGACTATATCGTTGACTATATATATATAAAAATAATGCTGCATATGTATACAAATCGTCATTAGATAAATTATGGGAGGGCCGCAGTTGGTTTTTTGCGTATCAAACTCCTTTCTTGCATATTGGTAGATTTTTGACAAGTTCAGTAAATATAGGTGTATAGAAAAACATTTGTAATAAGTTAGCAATCGTATTAGAGTTATCCTTGCACTCCACTTAGGTTATGTAATAAGTTAGGAATCGTATTAGAATTATCCTTGCAGTCCACTTAGGTTAGGTGGCCCATTGTGTATATACATATCATGCATTTATATACGATATGTAGAATTGCTACATGTTTAAAAAATAATTTAATTTCAAGAATTTAAATACTCGAAGTGAGAGGTTTTAAAATTTTAATAAACCAACAATTTGCTATTAAAATATATTTAATATTTAATTAAAATATTAAATATGTTTTATAATATTTCAAAAGGTATTAAAAAGAAATAAAATTTGCTTATAAAATCTATGAAATTTTAAATGATCACTTATATGTGTTTAAATACATATATTGTATGAAATACAGTCAAAATGAATGAGACTGAAAAAAAAAATTTCTTATGGCAAATAATCTATTATTCTGCTTTGTTTATCTATTAACATCTTCACAATGGAAATATATTACACAATACATTTTTAAAGAAAATTAGCTAAAAAAAAAATAAATGTTTTTAAAGAATATTAGCTAAAGTCGCAAAAATATTTAATGCCATTTGAAAATTTGAAAATATTGGATGGAAGAAAATATTTAATATTTATTTAAACATTATTTCTGCATATAATATTTATTTCTCAACGTTTAAAATATCTGAAAAGCTAGTCAGTGCAATTTATAAAGATTAAAGATTGAAATGATCGCATATAAAAGTATTGTGAGTGTTATTTATTGTTTTTTTGTTTCTATTTATTAAGCTTTTTTTAAAAATACTCAAAAAAAAACACTTAAAAATAATTTAGAATATTTAAAAAACCATTATTTAAAATAAAATTATATATAAAAGAAAATATTAATGTAAAAAAATGTATTAATATTTTTTATAGCAGTGCTTCATATGATAACAGATTGCAATTAATTAAGTATCTTAGAGGCTGTTTTTTACATAGTATTAAATTACAAGTGCATATGAATAATTAAGCAGTTAATAACGAATAACATTAACTTAAGGTTTGTTATAGCTTCAGTACTTTTAAAGTAGAAAATTTTATTACAAAATAATCATTTTCTATTTATATTTTGAACACAAGACATTACATTACATTAACTTTTGACATTACATTAGACATTACATTTTGTGCTACTGTTACATTTTTCTGTTACTGTATAAGTTTGTTATTCTCAAATGTTAGTAACAAGATCTATGTTCCCATATTTCACCTCGCATATTTTTCTATTTTTATTTCTTAGCGAATGTAAAAAGATTTATGAAAATATGTCAAAAAAAATTTAATAAACTTAAATAATTTTTATAAATTTTAAAATTTTTTGCTTTATTCTTAAGAATGAAAAATTATAATATATTTATTATATATTAATATATTTATTATAAATAAATATATTTATTATATATTTACAAAATTTTCTATAAGTGAATATTTATTACTATATTTATTAATATTACTATATTTATTATAATGTCACTAATTAAATAAAAAAGTGACAAAAAACCTGGAACTAGAGCACTGAAAGTTTGTGTAACCTTGGCTACTTGTGGATAAACAAGATTAGTCATTGCTTCTAATTTATCATGCACGAGTTCTAAGCCTGGCAATTGCAGTCCAAACAAATTATTTACGGACTATAAACTAATTAAATTCGATTACTTCTTAAAACCACTGAAGATGAGTACTTGACAATACTCGAAACAGCATTGTATGGTCAGCCAAATTTCAAAAACTTAAATCAATTTTTGTGTTTGTCCTTTCTTTCTATCTTTCTTTGCTATTCGGAAACTCTCTAAATTTTAAAAATTTGCTTCTTTGTTATTATAAAGAAAGCGTAGCTTTTTTGGAAACACTAATAAAAACTATATATTTATTAATATTTATTATTATATCCTTATCAGGTGATAGCAACGTGAAGGCTTTGTGTCAGAATAACAAAGTATATTAGTAATGTTGCAGTTACACTAATGTAACTTGTTATACTAATATTTACTAATGTTACACTAATTTGTTCCTTTCAGGTTCCACCTCAGCTTTAACGAAATATATTGATCAATTCCGATTTTCGTTCCGGCAAAGATATCGCTTTGTTTCGGTTTTCACTTTGTGGTTTCGTCCCAGTTCGAAACCTTGGTTAAAATATAGCCTTAAGTACTTGTATATGAAGTGCACTTAATTATAATTTCATTTCTTTATTTATTTAGTTTGTCATTTGTTTTTATTTTGAAAAGTATTTTCACCTTAGGCACATGAAAAATTAAGAAGCAACATTTTTAGTAAATATTATTCCCACAAGTATTGTCTTCCAAATTTATTGATATTGTTTTTTAATTAGTTGGTATCGTTATTTATCACAATTTTATAATAAATTATAAAATTTTACAAATAAATTTGGTATTACGTTAAAAATTTCAAATAAGACTTCCGCATTTCTATACGTA